CAAACACAAAAATATATACAAAGAGATATGAACACATAAACACTCACATGCAATCACACACACACTTCGTTCTACAAGCACACATACAAACAACTACACACATAAACACACAATCACACAAGCTCCCCGCACACCCACATCCGTAACTCCAAGCGCTCACACAACTATATACACGTGAAAACACGCGTGAAAATACACACAGGAAAAGCTTTCAGACAATTTCTAAGTGTATTAAAGATGCAGACACTGAATTTGAAAAGACGTAATCAAATTCTGCTCTTAGTTACCCTGTCCTAAATCTGGATCCCATCCCCTGCACTAAATTGTTGCATCGGGGAATGACCCAAAGCCAAATGAAGGCAAGGGAGGCGGCACTAATACCATTCATGTCAGTGATCTTTGCATCACACCCAGAGTAATAGATTTTTTTTGCCTTAGATACACACGTCCCCCCTCCCTAAGTCACCATCATATCTGAGCACCTCATACTTTTTCTCGCATCTATCCACACTACACCCCAGTGAGGCAGGTAGGTCCCGTTATCCCCATTTCACAGCCTGAGAACTGAGGTACACCTATGGGGGTTGGGCGCTGCGGTGCTTTAGAAAATCCCACTTGATGCATTAATACTTAGAAAAATCCGGCCCCAGGTGACTTGCCCCTGAGTGACACAGGAAGTCTGGGACAGGGCAGGGAACCGAGCCTGGCCATGTGGGGTCCCAGCTGGGCGCCATGCCGCTTGAATGATCCTTCCTCGCTTCCCTGTGCCACTTTCTGAATCCCCAGGCAAGTAAATTGGGCTCCTTAAGTGGCGAGGTTTTATGTGTCATTAGGAGGGGGATATGCAAATAGGGGTGACAGTTTCCTGTTTAAAATCTGTGCCGCTCTCTGCCCAGGCTGCACCCTGAGACACAATCCGCAGCCCCTGTGTCTGTGCAGTGACCAGCCAGTCCCCTGAGAACTTTCCCCTCCAGCACCAGGGAAAATGGGATTTTTGCTCCTTGTAATTTTCGCTGTAGCAGCTTTGGAAGGTATTTTGCTCCTCTGAATAACTGGCTGAGTTAGAAGAATATTGTGTTATCACTGTTTTTATACCGATATTAATGGCCTGTCTTTATTCTCAGGTGTCCGGTCCCAGGCGCTGGTGGAGTCCGGAGGGGATGTGAAAAAGCCCGGAGACTCTCTCCGCCTCTCCTGCAAAGCCTCCGGGTTCTCCTTCAGCAGCTACGCTATGAGCTGGGTCCGACAGGCTCCTGGCAAGGGACTAGAATGGGTCGGTTATATAAGCGACGATGATGGCGATGACAGTGATGTATACTACCCTGATTCAGTGAAAGGCCGATTCACCATCTCCAGGGATGAGTCCAGTAGTGCGCTGGATCTACAAATGACCGGCCTTAAGCCCGAGG